TAATCTTGATTTGGCTTTTTGATAGCCATAGAGGAATTTTAAGAAGAAAAATCCTATTTCAATAGAAGTTGTTAAAGCTAAAATGGTTTCTTTCCCTTCCACCGGACCATTTGTTATAGTTTGTCTCTGCCAGGTCACAAGCCCAGCTCCTTCTGTGCCCAGAACAGCAGGAAGCCTGAGTGGAAGGTGACCTCTAACCAGACACACCTGCTGCAGATCACCCTCAAGAAGACAGCAGACCTCGTGGGACCCCTTGTAATCCTCCTAATGCTGTTGACTTTCGGCCCTTGCATTATTAACAGACTAGTCCAATTTGTCAAGAAGTGTATAGGGATAGTTCAGTTGATAGTTCTGTGCTCCCAGTACAGGCCTCTAGCAACAGTGAAATAGAAATGCAGTCCGTTTCATGATTGAGCTGGAAGTTCCAAGACAAAGGGGGGAATGAAAGGGTGAGGGCTACACCCTCCATCTTGCCCCGAATCCTCCATTTTTGGGCAGCAGCCAGGTGCTCAGCAGGAGCATCTTCCCAGAAGAAGCCCAAGCCTCTGCTAGCCACACCTAGGATTTCTTTAAACTAACCAATGATAATCAAGGGAAGTGCTCGCCATAGATACGACCACATCCTGTGTAACAAGACACCGACTTGCACCTGGCCAATCGGCAGGGCCCACAGTCCTCTCTCCTCCCCTTACTCCAACCCCCCTATAAAACCCCTCTACCCACAAAGCTCGCTCTCTCTGCCACTTGCCGCTGCATCGGTAAGGAGGGTAGAGGAGCCAAGCCCGGGCTTGAATAAAGATGCTTATGCTTTTGCATCGGACACGGCTGGCTCCCTGGTGTGGTCTCTTGGGGATCCTGAAATCTGGGCATAACAACGTGCACATGTATTGCCGGGTGCTGTGGTTTCCCAGTCAGGGCTGCAAGAGAGAGAGAAGCCCAGCCCAGCTGGTCGACATCTGCCTGCAAGTCTGAGACTTGGCTCATCATAGGCCTCCAGGTCGGCTCTCCTCACTTCTCAGCCCCCAATCCTGCTCCTCCTACAAGGCAGGGCTGCAACCTCACCTCCTCCGGGAAGCACTCCTGACGCCAGCTCAGCACCCAGAGGCACCTTGCAGTCCTCTATTGGTCCTTGCCTTTTGGCCCAAAAATGTCCAGCACACACTCAGAAGTTAGTGTGTCCCTTTAAACACTAAAGAAAAAGTAGTGCAGCTGCTCCCAGCAGTTCTGAGTCCTCACAGCAGTGGGGCCTGGAGCTGACATACACCCAGAGGAACGGCCTGGGCAGGAGACCCCTCGACGGTCAGAGAACCAGCTGCTCCTCCACTCAGAGCAAAGCAAACTCCCTAGTTAAAGGGAGGAGGGCCCCAGGGTGCTCACATGACGAGGACGGAAACTGCACCCTCCAACCTGTTTCAGAGCCTGCACGTGGATTCTGCTCCCGCACGCTTCCTGCCATCCTGGCTGCGGGCGAGGGGCACAGCTCCAACCTGCACCCGGGCCCTGGAAAGCCCAGTGGGGCTTCATGAGCCCTTTTGGCAGCTGCCCAGAGTAAAAGGGCCCCACATTCCTGCGTCTGCCTGGGTATCAGTAACACAGGAGCAGGTTGGAGCCCAGGGCGGCTCAGACCGTGAAGTTCTGAGCCTCTATTACCTCTGTTCCCCCAAGTCCCGAGCCAGTGAGGGTGCTTTTGGAGAAGTCGGACCAGACCCTGCCTTGCCCCAGCCCTCTCTCGGTTCCTGATGCCCCAGGCCTAAGGAGAAGCCGCCTGGCAGGCCCTGCTCCTCTTCATACAACCCTAAGCAGAGAGCTCTGGGTGCCTCCTCCGCCCAGCCCCGCCCCTGCCCAGCCTGTCAACTACCTGGAAATGTTCTGGGGTAAAGTAACCAATTTTGGTAGCTGGGAGTCCACGTGGGGGTCTCATCCTAACAGATCTATCCCCCTCACCTTCTTGGCCTCATTGCCTCTCACTCCCTCCAGGTCATTTGCTGGAATCAGCCACACCGCCCTCCTCACCTTCCTCTTAGATGTTCCCTTCCGCTGGAATTCCCTGCCCACCCTCACAGGGCCTGGGGGCTGTCAGCAAACCCTCACAGCTCCTTTTCTCACCCCCTGCAGGTCCTCCCTCAAGGTTCATCATCTCCAGAGGCCTTCCTGACCACTCTGTTTAAAATTGCAACTTCAGGGAAGTGGAGATCTAAAACAATTCATTTCTATTCCATTATTAAATGTTTGTTAACCATCCGCTGCACACCAAGCCCCGCACTAGGCCCCGGGGTACAAGCAGAAAGCCAGATCTGAGTTATTCATGTGGAGCTGGCTCCCAACTGAGGTTCTCACTCAATGGGCATCATTCCTGAACAACCTCGGACGGAGGTCTTATCACCTTGAGGCCCAGAGATGGGGAAACCGAGGCTCAGAGGCACAAATCAACTTGCCCAAGGCCACACAATTCTGTGAGCCATGCCCCTACCCAGGGCGAGGGAGGCCTGCTGGGGGCAGAGAAGGCCTGCAAGCCCCCCTGTAGGGAAGAGGCTGGCCGGCCGGTGATTTAGCACAGAGAACACCTCGGGAGACGCAGCCAGGGCGCAGGCACGCGGCGGTGATGGCTTTCGCAGCAGATAGCGAGCCGGTTCGGACGGAAAGGTACCCAGGCAGCTGTAATCTGTGTTTGTGTTGCAGTTTAATCCATTTTAAATACGGGCGGGCAGGGGCTGCTGGGCTTGACCAGGAGTGAAATCCCAAAGGAAAAGTGCTCAGGGAGGAACCGAGCCGCCTGCGCTCCTCGAGGGGGGCGGGGGGGGGGGGGGGAGGGTAGAACTCAACATATGCACTTGGCAGGAGCACATTTCAGCTCCTAACACCCACCTCCCTGGACCTGGCACTCTTTCCTCCGCCCAAGGGACCTTGATTCTTCCCTGGAGATTACAGAGCCCAGAGAGAGTCTTTAGGTAGAAACACTCACCACCCAGTGACGTGACAACTGTCTTCAGCTCCTGCTCTTAACTACTGTGGTGTCACTGTGGTTGAGATAAGCTCTCTTTATGGAAAACCTAGAACGGGCGTTCTCAAAGTTTTGGGGAAAGGTAAATAACATGTTAGTGTTATTATGAAAATAATTTTGACCTCCTGGACTCTCTGGATGGTTGGGTAACAGATGGTGGTGGAATGTACCAACGGGCAGGGCCTCGGACACATCCCGACCTTCTTGGCTTCAGTTCCTTCATGTGCACAGTGAGGGTGTAGTAAGATAATGGGATTTAAATCACCAAAGATCTAGACAGGATCTAACTTCACCTTTGAACTGACAGGGCGATAATACAGCCCACGCGTGCTGAGGAGGGACTGTGTGCCAGGCGCGGCTGTATTACACCGACGGACCCATACAGTCCTGAGGGGCCGCACAGTGGCATCGTCACCACCCCTCTGTAAAGACTAGGAGGCTGAGACACACCGAGAGGCAATAACATTCCAGAGGGCACAGAGCAAGTAAAGGATGAAGCCAGGATGCAAACCCAGCAAACTGGCTGACCACCAGGCTTCTGAGAGGGGGAGAGGGGGTGCCTGGAGACCTCACGGTCAATTTCAGGGTGGAGGAGGAGAAGCCAGTGGGGGAGCAGAGACTGAGTGGTCACGGCTATTTGACGTGGGAGGCGAATTCCCAGGGGTGTGCCATCCAATCAGAAAAGGAAATAAAAGGCATCCTGATTGAACAGGAAGAAGTAACATTAACTTTACTCACTCAGTTCACATTATTCCTAAACAACCTGGTATGGAGGCCTTATCACCTTGTGTGATAAGATGACATGATCCTGTATATGAAGACTCCCAAGGGATTCGTGCACGCTCATACACACACACACACACACACACACACACACACACACACACACACAAAACATCTATTGGGAGTAGTACACAAGGTCACAGAACGCAAAATCAATACATAAAAATCAGTTGTTTCTACTTACTAGTGATGCATAATCCAAAAATGAAACTAAAAATACAATTCCATTCACAATAGCATCACAAAAATAAAATACTCAGGAATAAATTTTTTTAAATGTGCATGAGTCAGAGATAAAACATTATTAAACTTGCAAAAGGAAATCAAAGAAGATGTAGATAAATGGACAGTCCACATTCATGGATTGGAATACTCGTTTATTGTTAAAATGGCAATTCTCCCAAATTGAGCTATAGATTCAATGCAATTCCTATCAAAATTCCAGAGGGCTTTTTTTTTTTTTGGCAGAAATTGATAAGAAAATTCTGGAATTTTTATGAAGATGCAAAAATATCTAAAATTTCTAAAATTCATTTGTTGTGATGGTTGCACCACTTTTTTTTTAAGTAGAGTTACTAAAATCATTGCATTGTACATTTGAAATGGTTGAATGTTATGATATATAAAACATATCTCTGTAAAATTGTTTTTAAAAATTCCCCCGGAAGCCTCTGCTTAGAGAAGGAACTCATGGTTTCCATCCAGGACTCCTTGAACCACAAGGAAAGATCTTTATGACCTTCCTGCAGGGTCAGAGCTAGAGAAGGCGAGGAATCCCGGCTCTTCTCTCCACTGAAAGAGGAGACTGAAGTGCCAGGTCACTTTTTAAAAAAATATTTTTTTATTGATTTCAGAGAGGAAGGGAGAGGGAGAGAGATAGAAACATCAACGATGATAGAGAATCATTGATCAGCTGCCTCCTGCACGCCCCACACTGGGGATTGAGCCTGCAACCCGATCATGTGCCCTAACGGGAACTGAACCACTGAGCTATGCCGGCCAGTCAGGTCAAAGACTCTTGAGAGTAAAGACTCTTGATGTGCCTTGTTGCTATGGCTGTCATTTACTCCCAAGAGCCTATCCGAGTTTAAATGCCCCTTGCCACCATATAAGCTGTGTGACATTAAGCAAGACACTGACCCTCTCTGAGCCTCAATGATTTTCTCAATGAATTGGAAAGAATAGGCACACTGCACTGCTGTGCCAGAATTTGGAGCCAAGGCTCCTGACTTCCAGCTTAGAATTCTTTCCATTAAAACTCTTCATCCTCCATCCCTTTGGTCATTACAGATTCCATATTCTGTAGCTGTTGATAACCTGGGTTAGCCACAGTGATTTATAAAATGAAATTCTGCTGCCCAAGGAGATGGGAAGGACTCAGAGCTCCCCACCCTCCTGCTGATCCTCATGCCTGGGGATTCTCAGCTCCCACCCGGGGAGACACAGCCACCCACACCTCTGTGGCCCCGTGACTCCCTCAGCCAACCCATCTCACCATGACAGCCGTGACCTGCCAAGCCCCCATGTCCCTCCGTATTCTTCCCAGCCCAGTGCATGCCCCCTTCCTCCGAGCCTCACGCCCAGCCAGCCTCAGGCCTCCGCGCAGCTGAGCACCTAAAGCAAATGCAGTCCATGAGCCTCCAGTTGGAAACATCGTTGGCTCTTATTTCCTGAGCTATAGGCCTTTTCTCCGTCTCCTCTGGAGCAAGGGTCACCGAGGCTTATATTTCTTATTTTACATGACACTTCCGAGCTCCCGTGTGTCGGAGTCGTGGTGGGTGGTTGGGCGGAGACAGGCGTCTGTGAACTGGCTAGCTGGAGCAGCGACCTCCGCCCCGGCCAGGAGAAGCTCGCCGCTTGGCAGGAAGGCATGGAGTTGAAGACTTCCAGGAGCGAGAGAAAGAGAGCAAGGAAAATCCAGAATGGTGCCAGGAGCAAGGCTCCAGTCCCCTTGGTGAGCGGGGGCGGGTTGGGTTGCATGTTGGATAGTGAAGAATGCAGGCTGGTAAACCGAGGCAGCCCTGGCCTGGGGCAGCTGGCAGAGAGGCCCGAGGAAGGCGGGAATGAGCCAGGCTGGGACATCAGAGTCCCGCGTCCCCATCCTCTCCCCCACGGTGCCGGTGCCGGGCCCAGTCGGGCTCCCTCCCCGATATTTCATCAGAAGCTGGGAGAGAGAAGCTCTCCAGCTTGCAGAGCTGGGGGAGCTGGAAGCCTGGCGCAAAGGGCTGCAATGAGCTCACTTGTTCATCCATTCATTCCAAATGGTCACCGAGCACCCACTCCCTGTCAGGCACGGGGATCCAGCAGTGAGCAAAGTGACAGGAAGCGCTCCTGCCCCTGTGGAACTTACATTCCAGTTGCAGGGGTGTGTGGGGGGGGGGGGCGGCTTGAAAATAAGATGATCAATAATATAAATGCCAGGCAGGTCAGATGGTGGGAAGTGCTGTGGAGAAAAACAAAGCAGGAGGGGGTGGGGCAGGGCCAGGGCCAGGACAAGGAGCAGAGCAGGGAGGGTAACAGGTGAGGTGGGGACATGTCTGGCAGAGCCCCCAGGCCATTGTGAGGTTTGGGCACCACAGAGGGGAAGGCACAGTGGGGTGGGGGGGAAGGGAGTGGGGGGCGGTCTGAGTAGAGGAATGACCGCCCTCTGGCTTCTCTCCCGTGTTCTTCCAGCCGATGCTACAGACACATCATGAGGTAAACTGGCTCGTGGTGGAGACTGAGAGAAATTTCCAGCCAGGGCAGCCCGCCTGGGCAGAGAGGATGAGAGCGAAGCCCCCCTCTCATCTCCCTCCTGCCTCAGCCCACCGGCCCACCTTCCTCCCTGACCGCCACCTCCTGATCTTCCCCTCTTTCCCCTCCTTTTCTCCCTCACCCTTCCTCCCTGCCAGGGCCTCAGCGCTAAACACTGTTCGCAGTAAGAGAGGCTCTAAAAGGCTGCACTCTGCCCTCCCTGCCTGGCGTGGACCCTAGCCCAGGGCCAGCAGACTTCCGAAAAGGCCCAGAGAGGAAATAGTTTAGACTCTGAGAGCCGTGGTCTCTGTCCTAACTACTCCACTCTGCTGTTGCAGAGCAGACAGCCACGCTATGTAAACAAATGGGCACGCTGGGCTCCAATAAAGCTTTATTTACAAAAGCAAGTGGTGGGCCGATGTGGCCCCCAGGCCGCAGTTTCTGACCTCTGCCCTAGAGCATCAACTGGGCTTCATGTATTCCTGAGAGGGATTTAAGGTCCTGAGTGATTTGGAAGAAAGAATAATAATAATGGTGGTAATGATGATGATGATGAGATATGCTGAGCGCCAACTTTCTGCAATGTCATTCTTCCATCTATGGAATATTTACTGAGCTGGGAATACAGTGAGACAGGGGGACCCCTGCCCCAAAAGCGTGCAGTCTGATGGGAAGTTCCCAGACACCACACAAGGCAGGTGCTGTGTACCCCCAGGTGACAGGTGAGGAAATTGACACTCGGGGAAGTGACCAAAGGGCCCACGGTGACACGGAGGGTGAATGGCGAACACAGGTGAGTCCCAGCCGTCCCTCACTCCCTTTGGGCACCCACACGGGCCTCACCACCTGCCTCGCCGCCTGCCTCACCGCCTGGTAGCGGGACAGCCTGGAGCCAGGCGCTCACACCCGAAATGGTCCCTGGTGGATGCAGAGAGGAAACCGCGGGCCTCGCGCCTCCCCGAGCCCCCGCATGAGACGGGGAGCTGGGATTGAGCAAGCGACACTTGATGCCGAGATGACATCATCTTTGACACTCCTTTTCAAACAAAGACTTTATTCTCTTGCCAACGTCTTCACCCTGAGACAGGAAGAAGCCTTTTGATCTAGGGACTGCATTCCTGTGCTCCTCGGGGCTCCGTGGGACGACTCCATCAGGGTGACAAGCACCCCTATCCTGGCACCAAGGATGACGGACGAGCCTTTGACCAGCAGGGTGTAAGGAACTCAACATGGCCCCAGCCTGGCCAGCCGGCGCCCAGGTGAAGAACAGGCTTGCAGGCAGCAGCAAGGCAGGCCCCTGCCTGCCCGCCCGCCATGGGAACCCGCAGCCCCCACCAGGCAGCACCCGGAGTCTCTCCCAGCAGCACCTGCGTCTCCCGAGTCTAAAGGACATTGAGGATGGACCCAGTCCTCCCGCTGCAGACCAGGCCTCCGTGCCGAGCCCCCTGAGGAAGCGAGTGCTCCAGCGAGAAAGAGCCCATGTCCAGCCCTGGGCCCAGTGGTACCGGGTTATCCGACAGAGCGGGGCTGGGTCATCCGTGCAAACGGGGATCTGGAGCAGCCAGAGAAGACTGTGCCCCAGGGGCTGGCTCCAGGCGCCGCCTGCACTGAAGACGGGGAGGGCATTCCCCGGGATGACCCACCACCACTGCCTGAGCTGTGGCCGCTTCCTCTCAAGTGCTCCCCGACAGCCACGGGTCTGTGGCACCCACGGGGGAGGCCACTGTTCCCAGGAGGCCCTGGGAATGGTGGGGCCGCAGGTAGCACAGGCGGACCAGGGTGGTTGAGGGCAGACCAGGGCCCTGGGCTGCTTTTGAACAGCTGGGAGCTAACTGTGGTGCTCACATGTCTAGTGTTGTAGAAAGAAGAAGAATGTGGGAGCATATGCATGTGGTTCACAGAGCCTAGAATATCTGAGATCTGTCCCTTCACGGACAGTGTTTGGTGACTGCAGAAAAGGGTCTGATAAAGGGAGGGAGTGGTTACCGTGGTTACCAGAACTCAGGAGGCAGGAGCTGTGAGGAGGGCACTGCCTCTGAGGAGCTGTATGACCTTCAGCTGAGGGACAAGGCTTCTCCCATGGAGGGAGCTGGGGACCCTGACCTTCCACTCCTCTCTTTCCCTGTCACATGAGGTCCCACAAGCCAAACCCACCTGGAAGCAGAGGTCAGGACGGAGCCCACATGGGCTGGCCTCCAGGGATAGAAGGCAGGAGGGTTGGGTGTCCTGTAGAGTGGCATTCCCTGACGTTGCCCGTGAGGAATGAAACCTCAGAGAGGTGAGGTGCCTTGCCCAGGACCACTGGCTCTGCCTGCCTGACCCGGGAAGAGGGCTCCACTCTGTCTGGTCCCAACCTCAAGCCCACGTGTCCACACGGGCTTGGCCGAAGTCCCAGCAAGCCCTGCCCTGGCTTTGCCTCTGACCCTGGAGATCACCCAGCTCACTCCCCTGCTTGGACTCTACACTCACTAAGCAGCTCTGAGAACAATGCCACCTCATGCAGCGTTCCGAGGCGGAGAACATGTGCTGGCCACGCTGACGGTAACATCCAGCCCAGGCACCGTTTGAGGCTGGTGATGAGGGAGTCATTTGGCCCAGGGAGGGAATGCACTGCCCGACTGACACTAGCACCTGGCCCCGCACCCCCTCCTCACCACACAAGGCACTCAGGCATCCTGATTTGTACATCGGTCTCTTGTGAGTCGGGTTAGTGTGAGTCACCCCTCCAGAGCCTGAGCACGTCTGAGGCCCAGATCACATTTCTGAACCTGCACTAAGGGTGTAGTGCCCTCCCCCAGGCGCTGCTTCCTGGGGCCCTGCCTTGGGCCCATTGGCCTCCTCTGGGGATCCGCAGCCAAGCCTCCCCCAGACGGCAACAGCAATGAGCTCCCAAACTCCTCCATCAGGATTCCTGGGGAGGCTGAGAGCTGTGTTTGCATCCCTGCAACAGACCAGGAATCAGAAAATTAGCTCTTTCCGAGAAACTACGTGCGTGGCCACTTTCAAATGCAAGAGAAAGTGAAGAGTATATTGAAAATGAGGAACGAGAATGGGCTGCCGTCTATGGCTGCTGTGGCTCACCCCTTCCACTGAGGGCTTGAAGGCAGAAATGCAGCCCCACTGCTCCTGCGTCTCCAGGGATTCCTGGGCCTTTAGAGGGGAAGGGCCCCCACAAATGCTGCAGACACAGACCAGAGACCCTGCACGTGGCCATTATGTCTGAATGGCCCCTGAGCTGGGGCTGCTGGCTCACACGCCGCCGGGGCTGGCTGCAGTTGGCACGGACTCAGATCTCTCCTCCAGCAGGATAGAGCAGGCCTGGGGGCGGGGGAGGGGGGAGCTTATAAGAAATGACATTTGAAAGCCCCGGAGCTCAGTGGCTCCTGGGGAGCTGTGAGGACCAGGCGGAGGGGTGGTAAGAATGGTAAAAAGTAGCAGGAAGAAGGGCCCTGCCCCTCCTGACGTGACCCTGAGAACGTGTGGCTGATGGGATAAGGACTGTCACCAGCATCGCTCGGCAAACCCAGGGCTGGCACCTTTTCTGCAGAGGAGTTCCAAGCTCCACCCTTTCCTCCTGGAGCCTCTGGGGGATGCTGAGGGGGGTCCCAGTGAGTGAGAGACACCACAGAGAGCCACAGACAGGCTGCAGAGGCCACGGCCGCCAGACTCAGCGCCAGTCAGGCCTGCAGGATACCTACGTGCAGGATGCCACCACCGCTGAGCGCCCCCTGGGGTGCCCAAAGCTTCGGCCTCTGGTTACATCAGTGGTCCTGCCCCCAGCACTCGTGGCCTGGCTTGCTCCCTCCTATGATGACCTGGGCTTGGGCATGACACTTGCTTTGGCAGATGGGACTTTAGCTAATTGTGAGGAAGCAGCGGCTTGATAGCACTTGCGAGCTGTGGACCCAGTGGCCCTGCTGAAGGAAGCAGAGGTGTTCCTGCTGGGAAGAGGCCCCGTGGGAGGGCGGGACAGCCTGCGGGCAGAGGCACCAGCGGCCCTGAGGCACAGTGAGCAGAACCCCCGCCTGGGCAACCCACAGAGTCATCAGAGACACAAAATCCTTGTGCAAAGCCACTACCTTTGGGGGTGGCTTGCTAGGCAGCAGGGGGAGGGGGGGTAACTGAGGCAGTGCCCGGAGCCCCGGATGACCTTGCCTCTTTAGCTCATCTCCATTGGCGCTGAAAAGCACAGCCTCCTGGCCGATGCCAGCGGCCCCTCTGGGCTGTGCCTCTGGAAAGGAATGCTGGGAGCCAGGACGACCCGGATTCTAACCACCTCACACAGCAGCCACGAAGAGCCCGCACCATCATTCATCGTGTCTGTGCTGCCGGGTTCAATGGCCCCGCTGTCACTCCTTGTTTTCTGTGCCTCCATCATGGGCTGCAGATCCCTGACTGCGCTGCCCAGGCTGTGAGCTGTGATGTCAGGACCCAGCAGGGCAGTTAATGACCAACCCAAAGTCAATAACCACACAGTGGCCCTTTGACTTGGGGAGTCCCAGGGGCCGCTCCTGGTGGCATCTGAGCTATTTAAGAACACTGCCCGCCTAATTGCAGGGCCCTTTTCTGCTGACCAGGCTTGTCCTGGGGGCGGGAGCTAGTGCCTGGAGTGAGTGGGTCCCCGCAGGGCTAAAGCTGGGAGGAGGCTCCCCCCAAGAGGCCGCTGCAGTACTTCCTTGAGGCACCAGCGGCCCCAAGGCACCGCACTAGGACATTTGCATTTTTAATAAAAGCTCACCCACCGGGGATCTTAGGGCAGTGAAACTATCCTGTGCGACACTGTAAGCGTGGCTACGTGACATCATGGACTTGTCCAAATCCAGAGAGTGTACAACACCAAGAGTAAACCCTGCTGTTGTCAGTTAGTAATAAGGTATTCATATTAGTTCACCACTTGTCACAAATGTACCCCACTAATGCGAGATGTTAATAGTGGGAGAAACTGTGAGGGAGAAGGGGGGGTGTGGGAACTCCCAGTACTATCTGCTGAATTTTCTATAGAAAATGTTTCTAAAATATATTCAATATTTTTATAACAAATATTTATATTTAATATAAAATATTTAATATAAAAAAGGAGGGAGGAAGAGAGGGAGGGAGGGAGGAAAGAAAAGGCTGAAAAGTTCTGAGATTTTGGAGGGTTTCCCGGGACCCATCTAGTCATGGTTCTTATCTCTCGGATATGAGGCTATGGTGTCTGACACAGGACTCGGGCTACTCGGGGAAGGGCAGGGTGGAAGGTAGAGGGCAGCCAGTCAGGAGGCTGTTACTACAATCCAGGTGTGACATGCTGGTACAGACCAGGAGGAAGGTGATGGGGTAAAGGCAACATTTCCAGGGCCCAGAGCAGGAGCGTGGTGGAGAGAAGTGGTGCCCACCAAGCCAGTCTTGCCTGGAGCTGTAGACTCCATGCTATCTCTTGGGATGAGTCATTTTTGCAAATAAAATAAATATAAATAAGTTTACATACATAGTATATACTCTGTTCAAATTCTATGAATGGTGTTCCAAGAACTAACATCTTATAGAAGCAAAATAAGTCCTTAAATTGGCGATTTTGACACGTGAGTCTGTGCAGTGCAGTTAACGTCTCTACAAGGTCTGCGCTTGGCATTATTTCTGGTGTCTGACTGTTCACTGTAGGGCACTGATCTTTGCAAATCCTTCAACAGGAGAAATGCAAACAGAGGAAGTGGTGGCTGTCACTGTAGAATACACCAAGTGAAATCAGAAACTGCTCTTAGCTAAGCTTGCAAAAGCCAGTTTCAATGGCAAAACCATAATCAGGCCAGCAGACATTTTTCACCATTAAAAAAGGAATTGGCCCTGGCCAGGTGGCTCAGATGGTTGGAGTGTCCTCCCGCACACCAAACAGGCTGCAGGTTCAATTCCTGATCAGGTTACATATCTAGGTTGTGGGTTCCATCCCAGGCTGGTGTGGGTACTAGAGGCAACTGATCAATGTTTCTCTCTCATTGATGTTTCTCTCTCTCTTTCCTTCTCTCTCTAAAATCAATAAAAACATATCCTCAAGTGTGGATTAAAAAAAAAAAAAAAAGGAGTTGCACTCACGTGAAGTGACATGAACCTAACACCCAAGTTGCAGATGTTCTTGGTTCTTTATTATTATTATTATTATTATTATTATTACTGATTTCAGAGAGGAAAGGAGAGGGAGAAAGAGATAGAAACATCAATTATGAGAGAGAATCATTGATTGGCTGCCTCCTGCACACCCCACATTGGGGATCGAGCCTACCACCCAGACATGTGCCCTGACCGGCAATCGAACCTCCTGGTTCATAGGTCGATGCTCAACCACTGAGCCACACCGGCCAGGCTGTAGATGCTCTTGGATTTCCTCTCAGCAACCCAACCAATGTGAACGCCAAAGAAAAGAAATTTTTCTACATATGGATTTGAACAGTAAGACCTTCAGATGGGTTGTGTGTTTTAAATTTTCATTGTTAAGATTAAGTTTTAATTACTAAAAATTTGTGATACTTAAAAATTTTAAATGATTTTTATTTGACATTTATTTTGTGTTAATGTGCCTTTCTATTAATATTTATACAATTAACATTAACATAATATTAATGTTATCAAACATCTGAATCAGGTACAAATTAATGTAAAATACTATCAATTATAGAGTATATAATATTGTCAAAGCATATTGATTTACAACAATAATAAAGTATGCATTTACCAGTATACTTTTTAAACTAAAAAGCTAAAATTTTTCATATATTCCTATCCCACAAAAATGATTTATGATTATAGTCTCTTGTTCTCATTTAAATCACATAAAGTGCTGTGGAAATTGTGGAATAATTTATGATTTCTGGAATTTTTGCAATTTCCCAGGAATTCTGATATGTTGTTTCCGGATCCCAAAGATTCCTATCTGTGGAGAATTTGGAACTCGCAGCCTGAAGTGGGTAGTGGGAGCCAGTCTGGGTCAGAGAACTGGACGGGATGGAACACGGAGTAGGGTGTTTGAGAGCAGAAGAGACACGTTCTGGAGAGGCCAGCCCCGCCAGCAGCCGAGCTCTCTGGCATTTGCATGAATTTAAAAGAACGGAGACAGGGCAGACCTGTGGGGTGGGAAGATCACATTCTCCTTCCATCTTGCCCTCCACTGCAAGTCCACAGGCACAACGGTGCCCTTAGGGGAGCCCGGGGGAGCGGGGGTGGTGACAGGCGTTAGATAGGGCTTCTCTCCAGCTGCTGAGGGTAGAGACACGGTCTGGCTGGACCACTCAGGCCACGCAGGTGGCCGCCCCTCCAGACAGACACGGGCACGCCCCCCGCCCCACCACAGGCAGGCTGGGGACAGTGGGTGGGCTGGCTCTCCGCGCTTCGGTCCAATTTGGCCCGGGTTGGGCAGCAGCTTCCCCAGCCTCGTCTGCAGGACCTCTGAGCGGGCTGGACGGGAGGCCCTGCACAAACACACGGTATTTTTCTTTGAGGCTTATGAGCGCTTATCCATGTCATAAATTGTCACCTACTTCCACTGAGGGATTCCAGGCCTGCGTTTGCAGGGAGGTCTCGGCTCTCCCAGGCACCGGGGAAGGAGGGCTCCTGACTAGCTTGGGGGAAACTAAAATTGACTCCCACACGGGGACCCACGGGAAACGTGAGGTCCAGACACACTGTGCACTTGGTCATTCACTCACTCAGCGAACCCTGGCAAGAGCTCTCTCTGGGCCAGGCCCACGTTCAAGGCTTCAGATGCACAAAGAACACACCGTGCAGAGGGGAGAATAACCCCTTAAAAGCAAGACCATCTTTTAGAGACACACTGAAACATTTATGGATGAGATGATGGTATGTCTGGGATTTGCTTCAAAGTCCCAGATTTTGAAGGACTGGCCATGGAAAGAGAGGGTTTCAGGGTGGGTGATAAACACTTTTTTTTTATCCTGATCTGTCCACCTTTAAGTAGAAATTTCATAGAAATTATGACACTGGGCGATAGCAGTCATGAATGGGCTGTACAGTATAAGAGCTAAAAGCCAGAGGGTTCAGCTGGAATGCCTGGCTCCACGCTCAGCTCTGCCACTGACCAAGGGTGTGGCTGTGGGCACATGTGCTAGCCTCTCTGTCCCTCAGTGTCCTCATCTGTAAGATGATAATGGTGCCCTTCCGATGGGCTGTGGGGACGGAATGTGCTCAGGAAAGTCAGCACTTAGCGTTCTCCCTGTCTGGGGTGATTGTCTTCATTTCCTAGATGATGACACTGAGGGTCAGAGTGGGGGAGAGACTTATGCCAGAGCCACACAGCTAAGATGTCAGAGCCAGATCGGAACCCAAATCCAAGGGGCTCCAAATCCCTTCCTCTCCAACAGAGGAGTGAAAATAGTGCGGCAGGAAGGAGGACTGGTCTCCCAGCACCTGTCCCTCCCTAGTGGGTCTTATAGGGACCTGAACGTGACCAGAGCCTGTGCCTTTGGCCCTGAGAGGGAGTGCTTTGGGGCCAACTCAGCCTCCAGGAGCTGGTTTTGCCACTTTGTGTGAGCTGCCCTGACCAACCACATGCCCTATGGTCCCTGCTGCTCCTTCAGGTCCTAACTTAGATACACCTTCCCCAGGAAACCATCCCAGCCTCCACAGCCCAGCAGCTCCTCAGAAAGCTACACATGGAAGCAGCATAGGCCCCTGCAATTCCACTCCCGGGACAGACCCAAGGAATGAAAACTGCTTCTCAAGCAAAGACCAGTACATGCATACTCCTAGCAGCTTTAGTCATAATAACCAAAAATACAGAAGGCAGCCCAACGTCCATCGGTGGATGAATGTTATAGTAAAGCAAGTTATAGTAAATGCATACAATGGAATATCGTTAAGCCATAAAAAGGAATTGAGGCCTGGCCAGGGTGGCTAAGTGGGTGAGCATCGACCCAGGAACCAGGAGGTCACAGTTTGATTCCTGGTTAGGGCACTTGCCTGGGTTGCAGGCTTGATCCCCGGCAGGGGGCGTGCAGGACGTAGTCAATCAGTGATTCTGTCTCATCATTGATGTTATATAATTTAAAAGGAGTTGATTACTCATGCATGCTACGATGGGGCTGAAGCTCGAAAACACGCTACGTAGATGAAAGAAGCCAGTCCCAGAGGCCACATGTTGTATGATGCCACCCATACAAACTGCTCAAAACAGGCAAATCCATAGAGACAGGAACTAGATTAGCATTTCCAGAGCCTGGAGGAGGGGGATGGGGAGTGACTGCTAAAGGTCTCCTTCAGGGGTGATAAAAGAATTTGGAACTATATGGAGATGGTGGTGGCACTAAATTGCCACTGAATCGTTCCCTTTAAAAAGATTCATTTTATGTTGTGTGAATTTAACCTCATTTCTTTTTAAAGGCAGATTGAGGTGCGGGACGATTCAAAGCCCTGGAAAGTCCATTATTCCATTCCTGACGTTATATAAGCGCGAGGCTGGCGATAGGAGGGAGGTGGCGGAGGCAGCTGCGCTGGCCAGGAACGCAGGGCGCGGCTTGAAACGCTCATGGTTTAAAGTAACAGGAAGCCTGAGCAATATCATAAATCAGGATTTTCTGACTGGGCTGCTTGTACTGAGCAGAACAAAGTGTATTGAATGTCCCGGGTAGGTGTGAGTCCGGCCTGCCAGGCCTGCCGGGGAGGCCTCTAATTTGACACTGGCCTCAAACTGAAAGTCGCTCAACGAAAAATTAGGTTTCAACATTTTAAAGAAAATCGAGCTGGAGCTGGCATTAAACATGAGCCAGAGGATTTCAGTAACTGCAAGGAAAACAGACGGGCAAATGTCTTGCATGGCTAAAGTCATTGAGGGGATATTTCCTCTTCTGGGCTGACTTACGGGCTCAGTGCTCCGGCTGCAGGTGGCGATGCTGGGCCTTGCGGGGGGTGGGGGGCGAGGGGGGCTGTACCTGCCCTGCTCATACTGCTGCCTGAAGCCTGGGTGCTGTTCTCCCCACCCCTCCAGCTCCTTTTCTGCTGGACTCTGTGGGTTCAGAGGCGACGGCCCTCGGAGACTGGACCCTAATATTTCTGCATCCTGGTCAGCTAGAAGCAGACGCATATGGTTCTACTCACCGCCCAGCGTTGCTTTCCTGCAGCTCTGAGGGTGTGAAGCTGGCACTGGGCTTTGGGAAGGCCCTGTGCGCATACCCCATCCCCTTCTGAGCCAAAGTTTTTTCATCTGGGAATCAGTATTCCACCTCGTCAGGCTGTTCTGCTTCTGCACTCTGGTCCCGCACCTGGCACGTTCCTCCTTCCCTTCTCTCGTGCGCCAACTCCATCATCCTTCAAGTCTCATCTTGAATCTGAATCTCTCAGGGCTGCCTGGCCCGACCCCTACCCGACACTAGGTTAAACCCTTGGTTATGCTCTCACCTGTGCTCCCCTGCTGTCCCTCTAATGCTGCCTGGAGTGACTGGATGATCCAAGAGAACCTCCCCATCTCAGGATTCTTAACTTGATCACGTCCGCCAAGTCCCTTTTGCCAGGTAAGGTAACACATCCACGGGTCCAGGGGTTAGGACGCGGGTGTCTTTGGGGACATTGTTCTGCCCACCATAGATGGGAGAGATGTCCTCACACCTTCAGACAAAACAGACACAATATATGGCCCCATGGAACTGACAGCTTGTAGGGGAGACACATAACAAAACGATTGCATGAATAACTGCTCTAAGGGTGGCTAACCTTTGTATCTCAATAATGACAATGACGAACATATCTACCATTTTTTTCTTTTTTAGAGGAGCACTTACTGTATGCCAGGGATTTTGTCAAGCATCATAGACGTTAGTACAACTCAACAATGATATTAGAGGAGGGTCTGGTTATTCCCACCTAACAGAAGTGGAAACGGAAGCTTGGGAGGGCGATGGCGGGCCCATGGTTCATACCCATAGGCAGACGCCAAAACCGGGTTCTTGGCCACTGAGCTGTAACAACAGCGAACCCGGGTTCCCAATTCATGACCCCGTGCAGCAGGACCACCTGCTGGGACTCGGGAACTGTTGGTCTACTTCTCAATTGCCTAGGAGAGGAAGGGAGGAGCCCAGGCTCTTCCAGGCAGGCAGCCCTGCCCCATACACGCCCCAGGGGAGCAACTAGGCCACCTGGGCCACTTGCGCCAGGAAATCAAAAATCACAGCCCATGGCATGGTCGAAGCCTACAGCAGTGGGCTCATCTCAGACCTCCCTGGGGAAGGCATTTTCCTCTCCGGCTGTAGACAGGTTCTAATTATCTAGACTGTGATTCTGAAATGTATTTCCCCTCTCTCCACTGAGGATCATTTCATTGTCC